GACTTGACTCTATTGAACAACTCTCCACCCTCCATCCTGATAGACAGACAGGCAGAGAAACAGACAGCGGGGGGAGGTAAAGCAGGTCAGAGAGAGACAAAAATTCACTCTCCTATCCTTACTATTGGCCATCGACCACTTCTGTTTGTTGCTCTACTGTCTCTGTCTCTAAAATTGATTTGATCAAATGAAGCTGGATGTTACAGAATAAAACAATAGACAATAAGATTATTTAAAAAAAAAATGTAATGGAGAAAATGGCTTATGTTACTCACAGCTCCAACACGATGTAGTAGCTGTCATCTGTCTGATAAAAGTCCTCCGTCTTAATGAGGCAAGGCTGCATGAGAGGAGAGGAGACAAACCATAAGAGGAGACAAGGAGAAGTGAGGAGAGTAGATGGGCGGAGGAAAGGAGGATGGAGAGGGCCAAGGAGTAGCAAAGGAAACAAGAAGTTAAAAAAACAGTTAAGAAGAGAAGACATGAATTGAAAAAAACATGAAACAAGAGAGGAGGAGGCAAAACCAGGGGAGAAGACAAGTACAGATAGGGGGAGTAATAAGATAAAAATAGGAGAAACCAGGAGAACAGATGAGAAAATGATGAGACAATGGGAGGGGTAAAGGAAACAAGGAGATGATGAGGGGAAATAAGGTCAGAAAACCAGGAAAGGTGAGGAGAAAGACGGGTAGATGACGGCCGATGGATGGTGTGAGAGGGAGGAGGAAGAAATAAGTAATGAAGAGAGATACTAAGACAAAAAGATCCAATGAGGAGAATACAAAAAGAGAAGGAGGGGAAAAAGGGAAAGGAATAAAAGTCAAGGAAAGAAAGAAAAGGAAACGGGGCGAGAAATCAAGGAAAAGGAGAAAACCGAAACAATGGAGAGAGAGGAGACGAGAAGGAGAGGAAATATATAGAAAAGAAACAAATGAAAGAGATGAGAAGGGTAAAGGAGAATAGAGAAGGAAAAGAGGAAGGAGGAAAGGAAACAGGGAGATGAGAATACACTTAAAACTTGATGACAAAGGTTTGCCAGTAAACAGCTCTTCTTCTTTGGTTTCGGACTCACATGGTTGATTCTCTGCAGAATCTCGATTTCTGTTTGTGCGTTTCTTATCGCAGTCTGTCATTGGAAATAAAAAACAGATCACATGATCATCATTGTTGTCCGCTATTGGCACTGGAAAAGGCAGGTATTTTTTGGGGCAATTTGACCATAGCCCAAATCTAATACATCCATTAAATGAAGCACAATGCTGAATGCCATGTTTGTAGATTTTTGAAGTCTTTCTCAGTTGTACCTTTTAACTGCTACATCCGGCAAAGGAATCAAAGAAGGAAGTGAGGGAAGGTAGAGGGGATGAAAGACGGACAGTTCTCATCCAATCAGAGAGCAGTTCAGATGACTCACCCCTTCAGACTGAAAGTTCTTCTTGTTTATTATTTTGACAGCAAATCTTTTGCAGGTGGATCTCTCGAAGGCCAGTTTGACTTCGCCACACACTCCTCTGAAACACACAGAAACAAGCACATACATTCTGGCGTAAGAAGCAGCGGTGCAGGGCAAAGGAAGTGACATCACAGAAGTACGTCCAGAGTCAGACTCACGTGCCAATCCGCCGTGTCAGCACATATTTCTCCTGAAGCGCTTTGGGTAAACTGGACTGATCATCCGTCATCAGATCGATGTAGACAAAGACTGAAGGCAGAAAGACAGACAGACGATGAAGTGACACTTGGTTATTAGAGTTCAGTAAAGGGTTGCACCAGCTATGCGCACGTTTAAGAGTAAATTCTAACTTATGATAGAGTTTATGCACTGCTTCCATTTTAAGTGTTGCACCAGGTAAGATAGTTTTTAGGCATGAGTTATAACTTAAATCTTACACCTAGCTCCTATAGACCAATTTGGAGTAGACATCATGTTTACATCACATCAGTTGCTGGTGGCGAGAAACACAGAGATGCAGACTACATCTTTGGTTTAAGGGATAGAATGTCTTGTTCCGTTGGATGTCAGAACAGGAATGCGAAAAACAGTACCAATTTCAAATTTTATCACCTCTATATTTGATAGAGGCAAAATGTAGACGTACAGCCGCTAGCTAAGCAATAAGTCGGTCCTCAATACAGCTGAACCATCTGACGCCGAATGTCATCAATGTGCACAAACGTGAAAACGGGCTTTTAGGTGGAAAGTCCTCTGTAAAATATGGTGGTCAAGGACGGTGTATCGTTTTAAAAGGTGGTGATAACTTGGAGGATGAGGAGAAACAGAAGATTTTACCAGCTGTTTGGCGTCGGTTCTCCGTGATAGATTACATCCCTCAGAAATGTATGGTGCCTTTTATTTGTACTCCTGCTCTCATTTTGGATGTGCAGAGAAAACGCCAAGCTACCAACAAATGAGTAGCTTTAAATTACCTTGTGATTAAGTTGAAGATTTTACCACTCATTGCCACTGTTGTTATTTTACACCAGCTGTAGATTAAGGTAATAGCTGTTGTTATTACTTAATCATGACACTTTGTCATAGTTTAAATACATTTTCGTTGATTAACTGCAGTTAATGGAAGTTATTTTTATCTGTGAATGGTAGTTATTTAGTCTGTTCAGAGACAATTAAGCATGAGAGGCATCACTGTAATGAACACTGCATTGAAAAAAATCAATGATTGGCAGTAGGAACTATCTGCAACAACATTTTGGTTAGTTTGGACGTTACCCTCTACAAGCTAAGATGAACCTTACCTCTCTGTGGTGCACAATGACACAAATTACGTTAGAACGTATCTAGTTTTAACGTAGGACTAAGTGTAGACTTAACACCATAACTTAAGAAAGAACTTACACTTAGCTGGTGCAACAGGCCACAGGTGTGTATTGAAGTTTTTCAGTCTCTCTAACCTTTGTTGCGTATTTCAGACAGTGCGAGCACTGCGTTGTTAACAAGCGGTAACTTCTTGTCTTTGCCGATCAGGGTCCCGTCAATAAATGTCCCGTTGTTACTGTAATCTTCCACAAACACCTCGCTGCCCTCCTGAGACACACAAAAGACATTTTTTTCAGTCAGACATACAACAGTAATCAGGTAGTGAGTCAGGTAATCAGGTACTAGCCAACATGAAGTTATCTCACTCTGTAGATCCTGAAGTGTTTTTTGCTGTAGATTCTGAATTTTTTGGATCCTCTTTCATCCGGATCATCCAGAACATAGTTACACTTAGAGTCCCGTCCAAACAGGTACTGATCCTCTACACAGTCTGTACACAAACAAACAATAAGTTAATCATTTAAACCTGGCTTCAGATGCAGAACTGGTGCCTGACATCTCATCCCCACCATGGCTTCTTCACCCCTCCCTCCAGTAAGCACTCGCTTCAAATCGTCTTGCTACTGCAATTGCGCCGATACTCTCGCCATCTAAACAAGATATTTAAGGTCTGGTCTCCCTTGCTCTCTCCCCGTCAATGCTAAACTGTTCCACTGTGCGCCACTACAGGCATGCTAGAGCACTTCTGATATGAAGGCTGGATTTGCAGCATTTTTCTTTTGCTGTTTTCTGAGCATGTGTGCTTTTGACTCTGCATTGTGATTATACAAGCAGAGTGAATGCAGTTGTTTTATTTTTTGCAGCACTTTTTCTTTCATTCATTTTTGTTTCCGTCTGTTTCTGAATTGGCAACATGTTTCCCCTAATGTAAATCATCTGGGCTGTTGCAGGTGTATCACATTATGAGCAGTATAATTAGTAGTATTGAATCTGTGCCAATTTAGCACTAATGTAAGGACTAATAGTAGTACTAGGGACCAGTGTAAACATCACTTAATCCACTTAAAGCATTTAAGGATAAAAAGAGTGGACTCACCCTGGCTTCTGAAGCCTCGGGCCATGGGCAGCAGACGACCCCAGGGTTGTATTTCCGGCTCCTCCGGGACAGATGCCAGGGTGACAGGGATGGTGTCCACACTGCTCAGCGTCCCTGATCCACTGGATGACTGGCTTGCCGAGGTAGGCCCACTAGAGGAACTGGAACCAGTCTGGGACTGGGATTTAGACTGGGCTTGGGATGGAGACAGGGTGGACTGGGTGGCCTGAGCCTGGGACGGGGACAGAGAAGCAGACTGGGGCTGCTCCCCCTCCTGAGAAATCTCTTTGGACATCCTTCAGCTCTTTAGTTAGAAACATCACATCATACTGGTTATATTGGGTTTCTGAACACCAGTGATTTTTTTTTTTTTTTCATCCAGCCGCCTTAAGTTTTACTTATTTACCGCCAGGGGCACAACAAAACAGCTCCTCGCCAAACCACGTTTCGAAACCGTGCAATTTAAAGTAACTTCGACAATCAACTACTTTAACACACATGGAAAATTTTAGAAATTTTTTATAAAATATCTCATTAGCGACTCATTATTTCGGGACAAATCAAAACTTTGAATTATGAGCAAATTTCAAGCGTGCTCTGAGAGAGTCACTTACAGCCTCATGTCACATCCATAGGTGATAATCTGTGCAGGTGTCCGGCTGATGAGGCAAGGTTACATTAAAGGATTTGTAAATGCAGTTCTCTGTGGGATATGATGCTCTCATTTAAAATTGAAGACCGAATAAAAAAAAAAAACATGTCTGAACTTGTTCGGGGATCTTCTAGTTCAATAACCCTGCCCCGAAGGAGACTATGACAGCCGAGCAGGAGTGCAGCGTTTAACATCACAATTACTTTTCACTAGTTTTTCCGGGAACGAAATGCAAAAACAATTCACTTCCGACTCCGACACACATATTACAACCACTCACCGGAACTCCTCCACCACACCTCCTAGTTTCTGTATGTAAACAACCCGTTCTCCAATGAATAAACAACATGTGTGGATATTTTTTTTTTATTATTTTTTTACCGGGATCACAGAGAGGAAACGTTTTGTCGAAATTCCCCTGTAGCGTCACGTGACTAATCCAGCCAATGAAAAGTGACTAAAATTGGTCACGTGAGTTCGGGTGCTGACGGGTAAACTTCCGGGTATGTTTTTCGTCTTGCAGGGAGACACTCAGCGGGACCCCCCCCTCCCCAAAGAGGACATGATGAATGTGATCAATAACTGACTGAGGCCTCTTGGAAAACCCTGTATACCTGTCTATCCACCTGCCTGACGTCATGTCCAAACAGAAAGGTTCAGCTAAAACCCTGATCATCACAGACGGTCAGTGGAGAGTTTGTTATCTATTTGTTATTTATTCATAATGTGTGAAGCCTTAATGTCATCCCTGCTGTGTAGTTATTTTCAACTCGTTATTTATCTGTTTACTAATCATTTTCTAAAATCTAAGGTGTGAAAAGCTCCGGTATGATCAGCATCATGTCGGCACAAAGTCAGATACTAAACGATGATGAACATAGGACTGTTCATCCTGAGCTGAAAGAGGGTGGATGTTGAGCTATTATGCATTAGGTAATGGTCAAATTATCAATTTGCTATTACTGTAGACTGTATCTTACAATTACAGTTATCAACCGAAGTACCTCAAACCAGCAAATGATGGTCCTATTTACAGTTAAACTCTGTCCATCACTCCCAGACTGAGGCAGAATCCCTCAGTCACACTTCTTTCTTCTTTGTCTGGATTATTGTAAGTCCAGAAAGTGGAGTCCTGTCTGGGGGAATCAAGCAAAGCCCTGGTCAGGTCCCAGCATGTGCAGAAATCAGCTGCTGGGGTTCTCACCTGCACTAAGCCCTAGCTGGCCTAGCAGGACATCACCCTCACCCTCACCCACCTGCACTGTCCCCAGACCAAGTCTTGAATCACATACAAAATCCTCCTCCTCACCTAAAAAAAGAAAATCACTGCACAACTCCTGAGAACCAACCTGTTCTACTCAGCGTATGGACTCCCAGACCCAGACAAACACTGTTGTGTGTTACTTCTTCTTCCCTGATGTGAAGCACTCTTTGGTACCTTGAGAGGAGCTATATAAATTCAAGCTATCATTATTATTATTATTATTATTAGTAGTAGTAGTAGTAGTATCTCAATTAGGTATTTTTCTTGTTTTTGTGTCACTTGTGAGTGTCATGCAACTGTAACAAGAAAAGTTATTTTGTATGTATTCCTAATCATATTTGACTGGTAATTAATTTGAGTTTGATTTATGAAAAGCCCACAAAATAGATTAATTATATATATTTTATACAGGTGTGTATATTATTTTATCATAAAATATCACATTTCATGAATTTTGATATACTTCCACCACCATGATGGGAAGTATCCGCCATGTTACAGTCCCAAGAAGCTTTTACTTTGTAGGTAAACTGTAGATATGCACAATCAAATTGCACTATGTTTTGGTTGTTTCCTAGCAATGTCAAAACCTTTTTGCAAACAAAATAGCATAATTTACATCACCTTGGTAACAAGGCTAGCGTTAGTTGATAACTTTTCTTTGCTAACCCTTCGCTTTTCTCCAGCTCCACGCTGTTTTCCAAATAAGGAAAACAATAATATGAAAAAAGGCAACAGAGAAAATGCCAAAATCTAGGCTTAAAAAAGGTGGTATTTTAACCAATGGGTTCCCTAATTGCTCCTTTTTTCTCCTTTATATAGTCCCCTTTTTCTGCTGAAATTTGGAAATGATCAGCTACTGCAGCTCTAAAATCTACTGTATAATCTCTCTGGAATAAACACGAACTGTTTACATTTTCTTGTGGAAGAACTCCCCTGTCTTGGTACAACAGGTGAAGTTCATCTCCCCTGAAACCTCTGCCAGATTCCCCCTCCAGGTCAAATGAGATTTCAAAAAAGGCATTAAAACAGGACAACCTGAAGGCAGTATTATCTGGAGTCTTTCTACCAGAGTGAAGTCCATTAAAAAGCTTTTAACAGATTAAACATTACTTCAAAGAATCAACACTCTTTCATATTATGGTCACTTGTGTTATTTGAAATGTTCTATTTTTAAATGTCTGTTATGTGAGCATGATGTCAGAGGAAAATATTGACAGTTTAAATAAACTGAAGGTTCTTTTCAAGATTCTTGATGCATTAAATAGTTCTTTTAGTGGTGAAATTTACAGTCAAATGAATGAAATGACAAACTGCCTGCTCTGGAACCATCAGGCATTTAACGGGAGCTGCAAGTGTTATTTTCAGTGACAATGATCATGCAGAGTCTAGACCCAATGGAGCACAAGTATACATTTTAGACACATGATTGAATTAAAATGCCGCCAGAGCCTTTCCCTGTCTGAATGTCGTCTCTATTGGTGCTGTCGTCTGTGATGTGATGTTTCCCCCTTCTGATCTGATATCCATTGCATCTAAATCCTTAAGCAGATGAGGAGGTCGATGCTGAGGAGCTGAATCCGTTCTCCTTCAAAGAGTTTTTACGCTGGAAGAACCAGGATCCAGATGAGGAGCCAGACCAAAACCAAGACCAACACCAATATGTAGACAATAAGCTGACACAGAGCAAGGTATTTTAACTACACCTTTTTAAACAGGTGAAAAAATACATTACATTTATTGTATCTCTCTTTTTGTCTCCGTCTGTAGTCAAGTGGTTATCAGAGGTTGTTCGATGTCGGTAACGTGACTTTTGACCCTGAGATCAGGAGCTGTTTCTTCTCCGAGCCCTCTCTGGCACAACAGGTACAGTGACATCGTCAATGAAATCATCTTGTAATCCCTCATACTCTCTCCGTAATAACCAATAAAATAACCGATAACAGTCAGAGATACATGTATCTCAGTCTAACCAGGGAGAGGAGGAGGAGGAGGAATGGGGGCGGAGCTTTCTGTCAGGTGTAGACAGCACCTCCTCCCTTTGCACAGAGGGGGAGGAGGAGGAGGAGGAGGATGGGGAGGAAGAGGAGACCAGGTAAGTGGATTTTGCCGCTTACTGAGTTGTTCTGCTGTAAACTGAGCTTAATGCTTCCCTGCCTTCTCCCACAAAATGAGACCTTTGGCTGTTATTGACTACATATATTCTCTGTTGTAGTGGACTATCTGTGTAGCCGGTTGGAAGGGAGAAAGTATATGGATGTTGTATCTGGAATTAACTCAGCGATCTGTAGTAGGGAGTTTTTCTTGGTTTATCTACACAAATGAAAGTGAGGTTTATTTGCTTGTATAGAGACGTTACTCTGATTTACATATAAACCAGGTATAAGAAGTATTGATTTTTTTGATCATATATGGACAAGAGGTTGGAGTTGGCCAAGAATTATCGTTGAAGTTCTAAATGCGTTCTCACATTGGCACACCCCGACTTTATGCGGAAAGTTTACAAGTTTAATCAGTGTGCAATTTATTAGGACCCTCATTCCCTAAAACTAAATCTAACTAATCCTTCAGTGTTTTAATAACTCATCCTTATATTGAAACACAAACTTACCATTCAGCCTTTAAAATGTATTACAGTATTGTTGTATTAGGCCAACTTTGTTTTAGCAGTTGTTTCCAAAAAAAAAAAGTGGACAGAGTTTTAATCACAGCAACCTTTAACCCCCTTTTTCATTTCTGAATGAAACAGGTTCTCATCAAAACTTGAAGTCCAGCAGAAAGGAGGAGTAGAGAACTATGAAGGAGACGATGAGACCTCTATTGCTGAACCGGTCACCTCCTGCAGACGGAAGAGCGGGAGGATCAGTCAAATACAACAGGTAACGTTCAACAGATGTACTGCTTTCAAATTTTATATGGGGAGGTAAAGCTCGACATGAAACGTTGCTTGAAAGTCCGAGATAAGGGGCCCAGTAATAAACCAATCAAATGGTTTATTATTGGGCAGCAACAGACTTACAAAAATAGTTTCAGGCCCCTCAAATAGATTGGTGCAATGCAGAGGCAAAGTTATGTAAACTGTTATCACTCCCTGTGCTGATTACAAAAATACTCCCTATGATACCCATCATACTTTTCCTCCATTCCGGTAGTCAATCAATCAATCAATATTTGTATAGCTCCAACTCATAACAAGTGTTATCTGGAGACGCTTTACAAAAGAGTATATGGGATAATATGCAGGAAGGATTTCTCCTTTGTATTGTAGTAAGTTCCACACTAAGGATTTGGATACAATTTAGACAGGCATTTAATCTTTCTGACCTTTTTATGTTAAGTCCCATACAAACAATCAAGACAAAACAATCTAGACAAAATATGAACAAGAGCTAGTGTCAGACATATCAGAAGTTACATGGGACAGGGCTGTTACCTGGGTTAATGGAACCTCTTCTTGTGCACATCTAAATTTGATACAATTTAAAATAGTTAGGTCAGACAGGCCAAAATATACCCTGACCTAGATGAGATGTGTGATAGTTTTAGAGTTGCTAAAGCGGACTTTACTCGCATTTTTTGGTTGTGTTCCAAGTTGAGAGTTTTGGATATCAATATTTGGGGCTTTTGGGCTGAATTTACAACCTAGCCCCACATTGGCCGTATTTGGGGTGCAAGATTATGATGCTATAACACCCAGGAATAAGGAAAAAACTATTGCTTTTGCAACCCTGATAGCTCGAAGGAGAATACTTTCAGAATGAAAATCTTTAAAACCACCAAGGGCATCATTGTGGCTTAGACTTTGTCTAAAAGTAATGTAAACATTGTAAAATGCTGCAATTCAGCTTAAATTGAATAAAACAATAAAGCAAATATATATATATACGGTAGTTTGGTTTTACTGGGTAGTAATGTTAGACGTTGTCCTCTGAAGGGATTGAAATAGAATTCTTGTGGGTTGCAGTTGAAGGATGAGAACATGTCCTTAAGGAGAACCATCAGGGAACTTCAAAAGAAATCAGATGATAATGACCGCAGGTGAGAACGAAGTTACAGCTCAACTGTACCAACCCCACTAGTATGAGCATTTTCCCATCATGCCTCTGTGCTTGTCCTCGCTGTCAGAGTGTTGGACCTGTCTGAGGAGCTGCTCCAGAGGAGGCGTCAGGAGGAGAGGGAGGCTCAGGATCTGGAGAGCATGGTTCACTCTGTGGAGCAGAACCTCCACCTGATGACGGTACATTTCAATGAACATATACAGCTCACATAAGCTGGTCACAGCTTTAGAAAAACATCTGATATGAGCTCAATGTTAAAGTGTATTTTCTTCTTGTTTTATGTGGCTCTCTTATCAGTGTTTATGGTCAACGTAGTCAAGAAGAGCAATCATTTTATTTGGTTTCATTGTAAGACATTAGCTGCAGCACATATAAATAAAGATAGATACCACTGTCATCTAAAAACTCTAAAATGTATCCTCATCTATAAAGATAAATGTATATTGTCGCTATAAGAGCAAAAAAAAGCACTAGAGAGTCTGTTCCACCAAAATTACACATTTTACTTGTGTAATTGTTTTTAATATGAACATCCAGCCAAGCATACTACTTGCTGCTCTGCCAGGAAAAATGTTAGTAATCTACCAATCAGAGATGTTAAGTGCTGCAAGGTCAACCCTGATATTGATTCATTTTTTTATTGACCGGTATCTATATTTTAAATATGTTAATAAAATAATTGAAGATAGCTAAAAACAATAATAAAGTGAACCGAAACAACAATAGTTGTTAACACATTCTACACAAAGTGTATTTCCTCGAGTATACCTTTTGGGGTATAAGATAAAGCAACTGGAACTTGATTATAAACCTGGTCCCTGTAGTGGCAATGCATAGAGTACCTCCAGTTGTCTCCAGTCTATGGCAAAAGTAGAAATGTAGCTTTATCCAGGTTGGGCCTACCTGTTAGACAGTCGTGTGTTCTTTGTATCCCTAAACTGAGAGTGTTTGTGTCTTTCATAGAAGCGAGCAGTGAAAGCAGAGAGCAGTGTTTCCAAACTGAAGGTGGAGCTGCAGCAGCTGCAGGTCGGTTTTGTAAAGATGTCATTTATTTTTACTGTTTCAACAGAGGTCTAATTAAGTACAATGGAAAATTTAACAGAACTGTGTTTAAAGGGGTTAGGTATGTAAAAACATTTGGTCGTCATCTCTCAGTCGGAAGGTCGAGGGTTCGATCCCCAGCTCCTCCAGCAACATGTCCGATTTGTCCATGGGCAAGACACTTAACCCTGTATTTCTCCCACTGCTTCGTCGTCGGCGGTGGCGTATCAATAGGATTAGTTACGTCTGATTGTCTCACTACATAGCGACCACTGCCATCAGTGTGTGAATGTGTAGGTTTGACATGCGGCATAGAAGCGCTTTGAGTAGTCTGAAGACTAGAAAAGCGCCATAGCTCTAGTCCATTTACCATTTACACTGCAAGAATAAAACAATCGTTTAAATCCTGTTTGTGATTCTGTTGATCAATAAATGTGTGTTTCAGGTGGAGGTTGAATCTTTGCGGTTGGAGAATGACAGTCTGAAGGCAGCAGAGTCGGAAGTTGTCATGACGATGAGACACAATGCTCAGATGGCGTCTAAGTACCTTAACAAATCGGCGAGCCTTGCCCACTCATCCATCCGGTCAGTACCTTGTGAACTATCATGCTAATGCTAATGTTACATTTCTGTCATATTACTGAGCTTACATGGGGTACAGTAAGCAGAACGGGACAAACCTGATGAGATGTGGCTCATAAAGCCGCTATTGAAGAACTGTTTTGACTGATAACACATACTGTTCTCATATTTTAGTAACTTTGGGTTTAAAAGTAAAAAGGCAGCATATTAAAACACCCTGAAACAACTACTGTAATAATGCAGTAATTTTTGTTTCGAACAAAATGCTAGCAAATTAAGATTTTCTGAATCTCTTAGGAAATGTTTATGAATTTTTAGGGTCCCTTTTGTTGAAAAAAGATGGGTAATTACATTTTCATGTCTGCAGGCAGCTGTTGGGGGAAGCGGAGACACTCCATTTGGTCTCTCAGCTGCTTCAGTCCATCGACAAGATTTCCAACATTCAGTCAGATTCCTGAAGTCCCCGAGACCCACTTCAGAGCTTCAGACGTCCACTTGAACCTCATTTTTGAGACAGGAAGGAGATGGTATTTGTCATGGAGCGGCCCTGATATGATGAACTTTGTGGTCTGCAGGTCCAAGTCATTTCATATCCTCTCATTGTCCAGTGGAAATATCCTCAATTCTTAAATTTCGCCTCCTCTCCTGGCATCTTAGGCCATCCTATCTAAGAGCAAGCAGAGGAGGAGACGCAAGGAGAGAGATGTTCAAGACCAGAGGTGTCTAACAAAATGACAATGCAGGCATGTATGAAAAAATGTTGTAAAGTAAGAATGCTTTCACAAATACAAATTGTTTTTTTTTATCAATTTACAAAATGCCAAGTGAGCTTACAGAAGAAAGATCTAAATCAAATCAATATTTGGTGTGACTACCCTTTGCCTTCAAAACAGCATCTTATAGGTATACTAGTCAGGGATTTTGTAGAATTATAGTAATGGGTATGATTAACCAATTATAGCAAACAGGAGCTAATGATCATCATTTTCATATGTAGGTTGAAACGCAGTCATTAAGTGGAACAGAAACAGCTGTGTAGGGGGCTTAAAACTGGGTGAGGTAAAGCCTACTACCACGGTGAGGTTATGGAAGAGTTTCATGCCACAGGACATACACCTTGGCAAGAATGAGCACAGCAACAAGTCAGAAGGTTGTTACACTACATCAACTAGGCCTCTCCCAGGCAAAGATTTCAAAGCAGGCGGGGGTTTTAAGATGTCGCAGTTCAAGCTTGTTTGAAGAAGCACAAAGAAACAGGCAACGTTGAGGACTGTAAACGCAGTGGTCAGCCAAGGAAACTTAGTGCAGCAGATGAAAGACACATTAGCTTACTTCTCTTCGAAATCGGAAGATGTCCAGCAGTGCCATCAGCTCAGAACTGGCAGAAACCAGTGGGACCCAGGTACACCCATCTACTGTCCAGAGAAGTCTGGTCGGCCAAAAAGCCATACTTCTGACGTGGAAACAAGTCCAAGCGACTCAAAATGCACAGAAATGGAGGAAGTGGGGTGCAGAAAATTGGCAGAAGGTGCTCTGGACTGATGAGTCAAAATTTTAAATATTTATCTGTAACAGAAAGTAGTTTGTTCGCCAAAGGGCTGGAGAGCAGTACAGTAATAAGTGTCTGCAGGCAACAGTGAAGCATGGTGGAGGTTCCTTGCAAGTTTGGGGCTGCATTTCTGCAAATGGAGTTGGGGATTTGGTCAGGATTATTGGTGTCCTTAATGCTGAGAAATACAAGCAGTTACTCATCCATCATGCAATACCATCAGGGAGGCGTCTGATTGGTCCCAAATTTATTCCCAAACATACAGACAATGTCATTAAGAACGTACTTCAGCATAAAGGCAAGTTTGGCAAGGCAAGTTTATTTATATAGCACATTTCAACAACAAGGCAATTCAAAGTGCTTCACACAGGACATCAAAAGCATCATGACAGAGGAAAGAAAAGAAACATTAAAATAGAAAATTTAAAAATCACTGAAATTATTAAATCTGAAAATATCTTCAAATAAAAATAATTCAAATGAAATTAATTGAAATAAATTAAGTTAAAATATAGAAAGAGTTAAAAGTTACAGTGCAGAGTTAAAGTTTAAAATTCTATTAAAATTGTTTAATTGAAGGCAACTGTAAACAGGTGTGCCTTCAACCTCGATTTAAAAGAGCCAAGGGTTTCAACAGACCTGCAGTTTTCTGGGAGTTTGTTCCAGATATAGGGAGCATAAAGAAGAACAAGGAGGCCTGGAAGTGATGGTATGTCCCGCACAGAGTACTGATCTCAACATTATCGAGTGTGTCTGGGATTACATAAAGACACGGAAGGATTTGAGACAGCCTACATCCACAAAAGGTCTGTGGTTAGTTCTCCAAGATGTTTGGAACAACCTACTGTCGAGATCTTTAAAAAACTGTCTGCAAGTGTATCTAGAGGAATTGATGATGTTTTGAAGGCCAAGAGTGGTCACAACAAATATTTATTTGATTTAGATATTTCTTCTGTTCATTCACTTTGCATTTTGTAAAGATAATCTAACACTAATTGTGAAAGCATTCTTATTTTACAGCATTTTTTTCACACCTGCCCAAAATGTTTGCACATTACTGTGTATATGAAAATAAGTGCCATTCCTCCCTTTAGTAACATTTGCCTGTGTGTCGGCTTAAATCAGAGAGAAGGGTAATGAAAAGTGTCTTGCATCATTTTTTTGTGGGGGGTGGGAGTATTGTTAGAACTTTTTAATGCCTTTACTTTAGAGGACACAGCAGTGGATAGTAGGGAATTGTTAGGAAAGAGTGGGGTATATGAATGCACAGAAGAGGCAGGAGGACAGAGGAGAACGGGTGAGAGAGACAAACATTGAACATTTGCATAAAAAAAAATATATATCATATCTCTTTGAAGGGTCTTTTATTTTGAAACATTTTAGCTGATTTTTACCATCCAAATTCAAACTGTGTGTTTTAACAGAAAACTTTCTATCTTGCCAAGAAAATACATGCGTTGAGTAAAGAAGCTCCCCCCAAATTATTCCCTTACACAGCTGCTGAAACCAAGAAAACTAATTCATATTCATATAGTAAATTCATATTTTTAAATAAATGTATATTGATGACACAGCAAACTTGTGTAATAATTGTGGTTCTTATCACACCTTTTAAGGTCTTCTTTTGGCTATGCACGTCATGGTCAAGAGACCCATGCAGGTCTATTTTATTATAGTCGATCAGGTCTTGATCAAGTGTGGAATTGTTTTCAATTTATTAATTAATATTTGGAGTTGTTTTAACCACCAAGTGAAGTATCAGAATGGTACAATGAACCAGACAAATAATCAACAGTATCAACAATGACAGAAACTTTAAAAATATAATATAAAATAAAATAATGTTTTATTATTAATACGTTTTTTTTTAATTGTACAAATTGTCAAGTCTTTGTTAACCAAAGTGTTTTACATTCATGGGTGATTGTATATTTTTTACATACTAAAGTCAATATAATTAAGGCATATTGTCAAACAAATCCTTTCGTGGACTTTCTATTTAATAATTTTTGTATGGTTTTAAAACAGTTGTGTGTGCTTGTCATTATAACCTTGAACAGGTTATGCCTGTTCATCAACATCACCTCAAACAGTTGTGAAAGACACAGCTAATTCACAATAACATGTCACAACCTTTTCTCTGAAAAGATTTCTGCTCAAAAACAGAAGCAGAATCTGTTGGCATGTGACACGGTTCCAGGTGTCCAAATTGTTCTGTTTTTCGATTAGTCAAAATAGTAAACTTGTATTTAAACAAGGTGCACAACCTGTGAACAAAACATTTAAATGTTTCCTAGAGCTTCGTTTCAATTTCCAATTGCCCCATACAACTTGTCTTTGTGAGGCTTTTTTATTTTTTCACCGCCTTAAGCTTAAGTTTTGTACGGAGCCCAGAAGGGGACATGAACGTAAATTTCTGCTTGTAGTTCGGGATGAGGTGAATCAAACAGTGGTCAGAGAGTCCTAAAGCTGCACAGGGAACAGAGTGATATGAATCCTTTATTACTGTGTAGCAGTGTTCCAGTGTGTTAGCTCCTCTGGTGGGACACTTAATATGTTGTCTGTATTTTGGAAGTTCGTGGGTCAGATTTGCTCTGTTAAAATCACCAAGAATAATGAGCAGAGAGTCAGGAAGTTTTTTTCTCCACGTCTGTAATCTGGTCAGCCAGGTGCTGTAACGCCTCTGTTACACAGGCCTGAGGTGCAGAGCAGTCTATTGCCAGCAAACACTCTGACATTTATTTGGAGCTATCTACTTGTGTATGACAGTGGCATCACTGCCTAACCTTTAAGTTAATGCAAAAGCATCTCCTATGCTAGCAATGTGATTGCACATTCAGGTGATTTCTAATAAGCTGTACAATTTTATTAATTTTGTACCCATCATTGCAGAGATACACACGAGGGATGTTCTTGTTATTATTTCCAGAAAAATAGTGTTTTAGCTGTCAAGTAGGTTGGGTGGCTAGGCTTGGGGGAGCATTAAGTGTGTGTGTGTGTGTGTGTGTGTGTGTGTGTGTGTGTGTGTGTGTGTGTGTGTGTGTGTGTGTGTGTGTGTGTGTGTGTGTGTGTGTGTGTGTGTGTGTGTGTGTGTGTGTGTGTGTGTGTGTGTGTGTGTGTGTGTGTGGGTGTCTCTGTGTTTAAATGTTTGGTATTATGTTTTGGATTTACCTTACTGATGAGTGTATTTATGTTTTGTAAGGACCCCCTCTAAAATGAGATGACGCATCTCAAAGGATTATCCTTCAAATAAATTACAAAAATTACAAAAGTAGCATTTACGCATATTAAATGAATGATTAAATGAGATGTGTACAGGCTTATCAGAAATATGTTAACGTTGTCGTTTCTTACAGTGTTGCACCTCAGAATAGAAGTCATCTCTAAGACACAAACTGAAACAGCACGCTGACAAGTTCATTTATCAAGTGGAGCCTCTTTATTTGACTTAAAAAAAGAATAAACAAATGAAAAAAACAACCTCCAACTGATGGGGTTGGGTGATGCAAATCACGTCTGTTAAGGCCAGTGGTTACCAAACAGAAAAATCTTTTACACACATTTATCATGCTGTCTGCTGTTTTCTTTCTTTAGATAATTAATCATGTCTGCTGTTTCCATCAGTTTACACATATTCAACACTCTGCTGTAACATAGGAGGCAAAAGTCTGACATCACATGTTTAGAATGTGTTGAAATACAAACCATGAAGAAGAAGCAATAGAAAATAGTTGTGCACTGTTTAATTGAAATACAATTCCCTCAAGAAATTCCTTATAAATGTCTTTCCTCTACTCACTACTTGACAAATAAAACCTACACGAATGGGTTAAATATTTAGGAGTTTGTGAAAAACAATGACAATACCAGCACAAAAGAGAGTAAAAAACAAAACGAAAAACAAGTCCTCTGATCGTGACAGTTCCAGGCTGGGCTTTAAACTGGACCAGCAGAGCCTGATTGCCATTCCTGACACATTCAGTTACTAAATAAATACTTGACCAACCTAGCATTTGAAAAAAATAACTTTGGTTGGACAAAAACAAATTGCGAGTGAACACACTGATACCATAGTGAACAGATATTGACCAGCCAGTGGACACACCAACCTGCCACTGGACAAAAAACATGCCGGAAACTCCAATCTTCTGATGGCTTACAAGGCCAATGCAGTGGGTAGACAACAACTGCTATAGGATGTACACCCCCATGATGATAGATGGACATTTTTTTAAGTTTTCCTTTTTTATTTCACATGTCCAAAATGAACTTCAAATTAAAGAAAATAAAAAATAAAACCTGCCAATGGACTGACACTGGTGAGCGGACACACACAGACCAACCTGGTGGACAAAATGACTTGGTGGATATACACCAACATAATGGTGGACAAACACCAACTTGTCAGTTGACAGACAATGACATGCCAGTGAACCCTTCGATAAAAAAAAATCCTGTCTGCTGGGCAGAAGTTCCAGTGTACAGATGATTACTGCCAGAGGACATACAAACCTGTTGACGGACAGATACAAAACTTTAAATGGACAGCCAAGCAAACGATTGCCTTTGGACTTAACAACCTGATGATTGATAGACACAAATCTGCATGTGGACAGACATCAACCTGATGGTGGAGAAACCAACTTGCCAGTACAGACAATCTGCCAATGGAAGCTTCCAAAGACATAGAAGTAAAACAAAGTTTGCTTGCCTGTAGACAGACAATGACTGACAGAGGAGACATTAACCTTAAGGACAGACACAAACCTGCCGTTGAACAGACAACAACAGCTATTTTCCTGCCGTTGGATTTACCAATCTGATGATGGACGGAACCACACTTGTCTGAAAAGATATCAACATCCCAGTAACAAACAAACATACTGATGGACAAAGGAACTTGCCAACAATAATCCGATGGACAGACATCAATCTGCCAATAGACAGACATTGACTTGCCAGTATACACACTGTCAGAGGTTGACCTATTAATGGACCAATATTGAACTGCCAGTGGACAGACAGCCACCTGCTGGAGTACAGATGTGTAGATGGAGGCTCCTGAGCTAAAGAAGTAGGATTTCAGTGGCTTCTTGGCATTGAGGACTCCTACGTCACTTTGAAACATACCAGAAAACCAAAGGATTCTGAAGTTTTGTTAAGCCACGAAAAACTGGTTTAATATGTAGTTTGTGATTAACTGTCAGGATCCCAAACAAAATTCTAATAAAACACACCAGCACACACATCCTAGTCAATGGGTTGAATGCTTATTTTGTGGCTTCAGGTCAGTGATCTGACATAATTTTCAACCTGTTGTGAGGATGTGGTAGAGGCTAATAGCGGTACTAAAAACTGAAATATTGTCGGAAAGTGTAACCCTTATAAATCTTTTGTATTACTTTTAATGCACAACAGTCATAAGGAACTTATTACTATTATTTGTATTGTTATTACTATCATTACTTCAGAGTCAGAACAGTACATTTGATTTCAGTGTCAGAAAAAGTCACCCGAAGAAAATGTCTTTGTAAAAAATGTGTAGCATTCTTCTGTGCACCATCAAATACTTAAAACATTTCAGTGTCTTGTATTGTGACAGAGTTCCATTGCTGTGATTGTATCATTGTGTTGTTCACATTTGAAGTGCATTTGTGTGAACCTTTTTTAATGACCTTAAAAAAACCTACCAGTCAAAATGTAACTTTATATTTATTTCATTATAGACCACAAAGAACCAAATTGATGAAAAACTTTAGTATAGAGAGTGTCGGGACGTGTTTAGCCTAGCTTTTAAAAAAAATCACCTGTATATGCTAAAGTCTAAGTAGCAGTTAGCATTGGAGCCATCTGTTCACCAGCTACCATACTGTAGGGGCATTAGCCTTGCGCTGTATCTGTAACATTCTGAATTATAGGTTGGGTTGTATGTTTAAACTGTTGATTGAACAACCTGACTACAGACCAGCTAGTCGAGTGATAAGATTATCACAACAGTGCTAAGCTAGGCTAATAAACTTCTTTTTATCCTTAAGTAACAAGATAACTCTATGTTCCTCTGACATTTGTCAAGTCAAAATGAGGATTTGGTTAAGGTTTGTATTTGCTCTTTTAGTTACTGTATTTTGTTTTACATAGCAATATTATGGCACCCAACAAAGAATTATTTTTTCTCTTTTTTTATTGGAAGTTAAGACAGTAAAAGTACACGGGGCTTGTCTTTTATTGTGTTATTTTATCAAGTTTTAAAGATAACCTAAATTTATTCTTAACGTTACTGTTTAACGTCTAGCAGACTAATATTATGGAACTTCTTTGCTCTTTATGTTACTGTATGATGTGATAGAGTGTAACATTATAAAGGACTTGGTGACCGTTGTTCCAGGCGTACAGCGCTCTGTCCCGAGGGTTGTAGTCGAGCATGGACAGGTGACTGTATTTATTGGTCAGAGGAATATCGATGTACTCATAGGTGGAGGAGTTGGTGGAGTAGGCGTAGTACACTTTGGTTCCACCAGAGTATCCATTAGTCACGTACAGTGTTCCACAGATCATGAAGGCCTCGCCAGCACTGCGTTTTGGATGGTTGGTGGTCCAGCTGCGGATGATCTGTAGAGTATTTGGATTTAACTGGCTGAGGACGATGTTTCCAGCATTCTGATTGGTAGCATAGACAGCCCAGAGCCCTCCCTCATCCACCATAAGGTCAATGTCAGAATGCCCTCCCCAGGAGTAATGGTACATGTTGTTGTAGCCGGCGAAGTCGAGCTGTCTGGAGCGGCTGATGAGCGATGTGCTGAAGTCGAATTTGATGATTGTGTGACTCTGAAACTTGTTGAAGTAAATGGATCCGTTATAGACCACCTGGCCTGTACCAGACCAGGGGTGAGGCAGGCGATGAGAGGTGAAGTTATCCGTTGTCATAAAGTCATACATCGACTGATACTCCCTAACAAAACGGTTGTTATGATAACCATCCATGTACCACACCTACAAGGGAAGAAATCAAATTAATGTGTAAGTATTTAAAAAAAATCTAGAGTCAAACGTTTCCATAGAATACAAAGGCAATTATTGTCAAAGGGTTGTTGTTTGGTTGATATGTAAACATTTTTTATCACTAAAGGTCTGAAAACTATTGTGAGCTTTCAAGTCTGAAAGCTTTCAATTTGTTGAGATGTATTTGTACCCTGTTGACTAAGTGTTACGGATTTTCTTGTTGCTTATCTTGTCACAAACGTATATAAGTTGATTTCTTTAAAGATAAATCTAGTTTACATTCTGTACCACTCATTGTAAAACTTAGCTTGAGAAGAGATGAAAAAAACTATTTTGATCACAAAAGCCCCAAAAGCTCTGCAATTAAAAGCTTCTTCAGACACATGCTCTGGTAGTAGCATTGACTGGTGTTAAAAAAGATAATATTTAGTCGACAAGCTTCGCTATGGTCGGGTTTCATTTTTTGTATGAAACAAAAAGGCCTCAGTAATTTTTAGTCTGTTTCATACCCAGTTGAACTTGTAAAAGCACATTAAAGATTTAGATGAAGCGGACTTTCAGCTAAGAGCCATGCTAATCATTTCTTCCTGTTTCTGACTGGTCTGATCACATCGACTCATCCCAAATATCATTCCCATTAATCCTGTTTTAATCCTGAATCATTGTTGACTAATAAGAGTTTTTAAACTTAATAATGTAGTAGTAGTAGTAGTAGTTGTCGTCGTCGTAGTAGTCATAGTCGTAGTAGTAGTAGTAGTAGTAGTCGTCGTAGTAGTCATAGTTGTAGTAGTAGTAGTAGTAGTATTCGTAGTAGTCGTAGTAGTAGTAGTAGTAGTAGTAGTAGTAGTATTCGTAGTCGTAGTCGTAGTAGTCGTAGTTGTCGTAGTAGTAGTAGTAGTAGTAGTAGTAGTCGTAGTCATCGTAGTCGTAGTAGTCGTAGTAGTCGTAGTCGTAGTCGTCGTAGTAGTAGTAGTAGTCGTAGTCGTAGTCGTTGTCGTTGTAGTCGTAGTAGTAGTAGTCGTAGTCGTAGTAGTAGTCGTAGTAGTAGTCGTAGTAGTAGTAGTAGTAGTAGTAGTAGTATTAGTAGACTTTTGTTGTTTCTGCTGAGACTTAATAGACTTACTCTATTGTCTCCAGCTGGGGCAAGCGGGTCAGTCATCCATGATCCAAATCTAGATCCAGAGGTCTTGATGGTGATTGGTTCAGAGATTCCTGTCAGCTTCCCACAGGCTGAAACATTAGCAAGGCATTATGGTACAGATTAGACAAATACATATGAATGCATAAAGGCGCAGATAAGAACGAAATAACATACAGTTTTTGTTTGTTTGTTTAACTGTCGTTCAAAAACCAACCTTCCTTTTTGTCTATTAATATATCTGTTTCTTTACCAATCTGTTTTTTTTTGTTTCCGTTTTTTATCTTTGAGGCTACAGTTTATTTGGGCAAATTGTAAATCACATTGAATGATTGTTGATATTTAGGCTAAGAGGAAGGTACAAGTCCCTTGTTGAAAAATAAAGCTTCTCAAGTATCCATTTTTGGCTGGCTCCAAAAGACCTTGAAGTCCCATACACACCCATATTAAAATTTCCATTTTAACTTGACAAACTAATATGTTGACAGCTTGGTACACAAAAAAATTGGTCTTATTAGTTATTGTCACTATTGGCTACTGCCATGGATAGGCTTCAAACAAGACCATTTAGTAACCAATGGGTGATACTCAGGCTTCATCCTGTATTATTTACAGTCTATGGTTTAACCCCAGGTGAAGGGAGATCTCTTCCACCAGAACCAATTCAAATTGTGTTCATCTGAGAAATCAAAATCCTGCCTTCTCGTGCCCTCCTTGTACTACCACAGCCAAACATCTACAAGTACCACATGTTAACGTGTTTGCTCACCCAGCCTCTGCATGCAGGCCTTCAGCCGGTCCTCCAGGCTCATAACTCTGCTGTGGAGCTCCTGGTAGTCCAGACCCCCAAGTTGTTCCTGCAGGTTTCCCAGCATATCTGTCACATTAGCTGCCTCTTCCTTAAATTGCCGCACCAGCAGAGCGTCCGCCTTGTAGGTCTCCAGTACTGGGATCAGAGGACGTAACTCCTCCATCTTTTCTTTGATGGACTGATGGACAAACAGACAGCAGACATTAAGATAAATGTCTTGGTCAGACATTTCCACATGTCCTCTGACCAACTTCATCATGGTGGATCCCCCTTAGACTCCATATTAACTTTAGCAGATTTCAACATATCTACAGCCTGGAACAAAAGGTCTGTCTCCCCTCCCAACACCAAAAATATGGACACTGAATTTTTACATCGCTCACCTCATAAAATTATATTAAACCTTAAATATATATTATTAAAGCCCACATTGTCAAAGATGAAGATTCAAACAGGCATTGGCCAAACCCTAAGTCACTTCTCAGTGTCTATTATTTATACAGTTCTGAAACTAACACTCATGTCTACACAAGATATTTTGTTGCAGCACATTTGCAGAAGCTTTAGCTCTCTGCCTGTGTAATAAGGAAAGCCATAAGGCACAGTGTGGAGTGTAGGTCACCAGTAATCAGATCCTGACACACAATCAATAAAGTTGCATAAGTAAAACAAAGGAAATCAACATGAAGCATGACAAAATCCTGTGGGGGGTACACAGTGTGACATGGCTTACCGCATCTCACTGTAACAACAATCTGTACACCTTTAAACACTGTGCCAATTTCCTTTTAAAGGCAGAATATGCAATTCTTTGATCCAGCAGATGTCGCCCTTGAGCACCAGCATGAAACCAAAACAACTTGCGCTGCGTTCTTGTGTTAGCGTGCTAATGCTAGCAATCTTTATTATGCTCGTATCTTCACATTGTATGTAAATTTACCCAAAATGACCGTGATCTAGAAACACTTACGTGACATTCAATTAAGCAGTGAGTACAGTATATTATTCTTCTTTTCTTTAGTCCCTCAATTAACCAACTTTTATACGCAAGGTGATGAGCCGGCCGGCCAGCCGGCCGTCCCGGCGATGTAAACAAAGGGAAGCTAAGTCTCAGAAAGCTCGGAAAGCATCACAGACAGTGGGACTCGGGTGTTACACCCATTGTAGACACTCATGACTCACAGAGTTATTAACAGAGGATATACTTGATTTCTACTACATTTAAGTGTGAAAAATCACATATTCAGCCTTTAAGGGAAATATTATAAAACTTACAATGTTCGCACACATGAGGTTTTTGTACAACAATGTGAAGTTGTGTATCTCATTGTATCTCATTTATGAAATATAATGCTTATGTAAATGTTTAATAGATTGCAAAAAGCTTTGCAAAGTCGTTGATGGCAGTTTAAGGCATGATGTCATGATGTAGGCTTTACCCTGTACTGTCGGGCGATGTTGCTCTCGTGTCCATCTTCCACCTGTTTGAATTTATTCTCGAGACCCTTCAGCTGAATTTCCATTTTCTCCACAAACTGCAGATCTCTTTGAGTCCTTTGGTCCAGAACCTCAATGGACTGACTCATATTCTGAACCTGGAACATGGAAACAGATTTTATTTATTACTGCTTTGACAATCGCTTTACTTTTAATGCACCATTATAATAACAGTGGGTTAACAGATTAAACCAGAATCAGTGGTAAAGTAAGTTTTAGTGTATATTCTGCTGCATCATTTAATTTATAACATTACGATACTTCTACTCCAAAGACATAAACACTAAATACTTGTACCTTTGAATAAATATTCCTAAATCAGGAACACCTGATGTTGCACTGAGCTGTATGTTTTTTTTGCATTGTTGCAAGGCTAATTTCATCTTCAGGACAATAAATTCAAAATTTCATATCAAATGTAACTATAATCAGAGATGTCAGTATGGTTCTTAAACTTATCTATGAGTAGTATTTGTATGCAGTGGTATAATAATCTGCTGTAATATATCATACCCTCTCCAGCAGCTGCCTTAGCTGTTTTGTTCGAGCATCTCTGGAGCAGACTGACTGCTGAGGAGCAACCACCGTACAAACACATCGACCCTCAGCATCCTGAGCTGAACTGTACACCTGCCAGCCTTCCTCAGGGGTAGAAGGACCTACCTGTTAGACAGGAAGTATGAGGACCATGTTAGAAAGAAGATAACTCGAGTGCATGGTTAAATTACCAATAACGCCTCTTTCTTCTGCAGACTGATTAAATAATAAAAAAAATAACAGGAGAAAGATTTGTCTTGTGTTGTTTGTATTTGATGTCATCTACAGGGTAAACTTGGTACAGTATATCTGTAATCTGTCAGACTATATATGATCAAATATATAGATCTATGTATATTAGGCATTCAGGCATCAATGTTGGTAGAGGAGGAGCCAAGGAGTGGGAGAATTGTTTAAATAACAAAATGTGATTCAAAATGTGTGAAATTGTCAAAGATGTGTGAAAACCAGAGACTGTGTTATGTATTAAAATTCACTGTTTTCACTCTGTCTTTATTATTCAGTGTCCCTGCATATAGTCAAGAATTGAAACCTAAGTATGTACATTTAGATCAAAAACATAATCTCAAAGGTGGCACAGAGGTTAGAGCACGTGCCCCATGTATGGAGGCTATAGTCCTCCAAGCGGGCAGTCCAGGTTCAAATCCAGCCTGTGGCTACTTTCCCACATGTCATTCCCTACTCTCTTTCTCCCTGATTTCCAAGTGTATCCACTGTCCTATCTCTCTGATAAAGGCACAAATTGCCCCCCCCCCCAAAAAATAATCTCAAAGACATGTGTTTCTTTCTTATGGACAAGTAATTTAAATTTTAGGTTTTTAAACCTTAAATAAATCTCTAGGCCACTAAATCAAACAGACAAACCAATAAAAACCAATAAAGTCTAGGACACCCCTAAAATAATTATGTCCACTGCTAAACTAGCTCAGTAAAAACTCTAAAAGCTGAAAAATAAAAGAAAAAGCTTTAAGCAAAGCTAGGTGTGAAGCTTTGAAACAGACACTTCAGTTTTTAAGAGACTCGAGGCAAAGAAAAACCTGGGTTAATAAGCACAGAGACCGGGCACAGATTGATACTGTTAGAATAGAAAAGTGCAAAGACTGAAAGTGTTAGTCTTTGTGTAGCTTAGCTTAGCACAACAACTTAAGGCAGAAGATCATTGTTAACATCATTCATCACAGAGAAGCAGAAAGAACCCTGTTAGCATCTATGTTAGTGAAGTTGAGCACACAGACTAGAAAGAGGGGGATACTGTTGACAAAGCTTAGCACAGAGTCAAAATAGACAAATTGCTGGTGTAGCTAAGAACACAAGCTGGAACCAGAGAGAAACTATTAGCTTTGCAATTAAACATATTATTGTTTAAATATTTCAGGTTATTCAATGCACACATATTCTTAATCAATTCATCTAGTGGTCTTAATTTTTTCTGGTCTTAAGACAAATTTGGAATTTTCACTTTTGAAAATCCTGACTTTCCACAAATACGATTTATTGATAAAATCGATTTATCGCCCAGCCATACTTAGACCTGAAAGAGGAGCTTGTTTTTTAAACTATTCAATAAAATTTCTGCTGTTTACTAATTGACCATTGTGACCAGCAGCTCATATTCTCAGAGATATGTTTCTTGTTAAACATACAAATATTAAGCAAATTAGGGGAGACATTGGATTTTCCTTTTGTAAATTACCTAAGGAAATTGGGAGAGCATTAGCTTAAGCAATATTTCTAGAATGATCACTGGGAGGATAAAGTCCACTTGTTGGAGCATCTGCAACTCAGTTCTTTGTTCCTGCAGACCACTTTAGATTCTAAACAAAATGACTCAGAAGGCTGAGCCTGATCCGTGTGTGAATGAGTGTGAGAGAGTGTATGATTATGTGTGTATGAATGTGTGTGAAACGACTCAATGACATGCTGAGTAAAGTGCTTTGAGTGATCTGATGAAAGGAAAGCAATGTAAATATTCCCCCTATTCTCTCTTAATCATGACGTTTAAAGGATCACCATGTTCACATTTAGGAACGACTTTTAGAGAAAGTGGAGCCAAATAATAAAATTAGTTTATAGATGTTTAGTGAGACAGAAAAACACAACTTTAAGTTATTGTGATTCCATAAAACACAACTAGGACTGCACGATATGGGGGGGGGGGTATCTTTGCGATATCTTTTCTATCTGCGACATATATTGCAATATTAAAAATATAAAATAATAAACATAATAAAAGTTGCCTTTGATGTGTGATTATTTTGTTGAATATTTCATTAATGAAATGAAGTGCGGTAAAAAAATGTATATTAAAGAATGTATATTATCTAAAACTCGTTTTTTATATCGCTCTGCTGTTCTTCAAGTTTTGCACTTGTGTTTGCAATATGACCCTCCTGAAGCAAATAAATACAAATAACTTTTTAAAACCACAAAATTAGCACTAATGAATCTGAGGATAGCTGGTAGTTTGCTGAAGCTTCCTCTGAATGCATCAACATGTGCACACGAGGGAGACCTAATTTCTTCTTTAATTTTATACTCCGTCATTTTATTGAGATAAATTCAGCCTTTTGCTATGTGTTTATTGCTGAAGCTCATTTTGCAATAATGATGCAATGGCGATATATTGTGAAGCCCTAGACGCCACTATCTTATAACCTTATCATTAGCAGCAGTGAAGGTGTATTTACCTGTTTAGCTGTAACAGTTATAGTAGCTGAAATATTGTTACTAACCCTCTCTGTTTTTGATCCTGATTTGCAGTAACCCATCTGGTAATCTAGATCACATGCACATTTATTGGCATCCATTGGCCGAATTCTTATTCAAAAAACGACTACAAATAGAAGACCTTGATGAGGTATGTATCTATGTGAGGTTCAATTTCCTCTGAACCACTGAGCAAGGCATCCATATAGAGTGTGTGATGAGGAGGTGTAGGCTGGAATAAAATAGACAGTATGGATTAAATATAACGAATAACTTAATGTAAAGACAGATTAAGAAACATGACTTTGAACAAACTGTCCTGGCATCAATAAAATCGTGTTTATCACATAAAATCATCAAGAGATGTAATTATAGTTTTTACTTCCAGTCTTGATTTCTGTTCTTGTGCTCTGCTTATTTAATCTTCCACCTAAATATATAGTAGTATTTTTTGCCAAATATTTTAAACATGACCAGAGAACGTGGTTTTACTCAGGCTGTGAGTAAAATAGAGCAGAACAGAATAAAAATGGAATAAAAACAGAGTGTAGCGTTATGGTTCTATTAGAATAGAATTGAGTGTTCGAGATATAGACGAATGAAATTGAAACATTAAATATTGACCACAGATAAGCGAGACTGGAACATAATAGAGCACAGTGGAATATAAATAGAAACATTATATATTTACCACAGTGAAGACTGCACTGAACAGCAGCAGCAGGAAAATGTTGACCAGATTCTCCTCCGACTCCATCTGTGTCAAAAGCACATTCACCTCCTGCTGGTTAAACCTCCTTTGCCTAATTATTAACCTGGTTATCTGTTAACCTGGTTAGCTATGTTGTTATATATCTGGTTATTTGCTATCTGCCCCTCTGCTCCTCTCTCTTGTCTCTTCTTCCCTGCTCTTCCTTCCTCCTCCCACCGCTCTCTGGTCCCTCCATCCCTGCTCTTCCGCCTCCCTCCCTTCTCTCTTCCTCTCCCTCTCTCGTCTCCTGTACCTGCTCTTCCTCCTTCCTCCCTCCTCTTCTCCCCTCCCTCCTCTCTTTCCTTTTTCTACTTATTCCATCCTCGCTCTTCCTCCTCCCTCCCTCCTCTTTACCACATCCTTCATTGCTCACTCCTCCCCCTCATTTTTCTCTCTCATCTGATGCTAGGAAGAAGCCAAGTGGAAACAAGATCCTCCTGCTCAGTGTGTTTCTATATATGGGTTTATGATTGTGTGTATGTGACATCCAATGATTGGCCCATTTTACCACATATATGTGATTATGTATAAATATGCTTATATTTCTGTATGTTTGTAAATTCACATTCATTTCAAGAGATATTAATATTGATGTGATGTTTCGGTATCAACGTTTATAATGTTTTACTATACAAATTGGTTAATGCTGTTTTGATGTTCAGTGTGATGATGTTTGATTTGGGGACTGTGCAAGTTCAGTTTTGTGGTATCACTTACATGGGGTAATAATCAGGGTTGCTTTAATTTTGGTGTTAAGGAAGCAATATCCTGACAAGCTTATTAGCTAAAACATTTAAACTCAAGGCTACATCTACAAGATGACAAATTCTGGCAAGCTAGCTGACATTTGATTGGCTGAGGGGAAAGGGGCTCAAGGCTTATCTAATGTACTGATTTGATATTTGACAAATGAACCGCCAGACATGGGGGTGGTTAGAGCACATCTGTGTGACAGAATTTTCACTAAACATGTGTTTTATTTAGTAGATATCAGAAATATGGACAACAGTGATGGAGATGGAGAGAGACAGTGTCCCATCCAACCATTATCACAAGCCCTTATCTTGTTTACAGAGATACTAGCTGTTATTGGGTGAGTACAGGATGAACCCTCAACAGCTTGCCAGTCAATCACGGGGCTCACACTATATAGATAAACAGCCAACACACTCACATTAACACCTACAGGCAATTGACCTAACAAGCGCCCTATGGGGGCTGTATAAACATATGTATTATCCCAGCACCATACCAAGGCTCTCTGGGTAGAGAAAACATTATATGGACACAAACATTCACATTGTTTTTATACTTGTTTTTATACTACTTTATGTTGTTTTATAAAAACTCTGTAGCCTCTCTCTACTTCCCCCTTCGCCCCCAAACCAGCCACTCAAACTCTTTTTCCTTGCTTGCTATCTCTGCCTTCAAAGTCTTCAAATTTACTGCATTGCTTCCAGCGCATCTCATAGATGCGCTGGAAGTGAGATGCCTTTATGCCCCCAGCCCTCTGCCCACTCTCAGCTCTCCTAGACCCTGCTGTCCAAGGCCTTCTGCTGCCTCCTCCTTGCCAGAGATCGTGATCTCCTGCAGACATAGGCTGCTTTCCTATTGTAGGACTAAACCAGATTGATATATTGATTATTGCTGAGTCACTTTCCTTAACTCTGTACCTCATGATGATGAAGGTGAAGATGGTGATGTTTGATTAAAATAGAAACAAAGTGTGAACTTCTCTGCTACTTCAACAAAAGGCGTCAAATTATTCAAATTTAACTTATTTATGTTCAGGCTGAAGACAATTTGAAACCTCCCTCTGATTGAACACCTACAGGTAACCCACCAGCTCACTGTCCAGTAGGGACGCTCACTGAGGTCAGATGGGTGAAAATGTATCAGTCTGAGCAAGACACAAAGAAAAGAACAGGACGCAGATGGAGGAGAAAAAATGTCCTTAAATTAATCATAATTTTCCTCATTTGGTCGTCATGGAAACAACATCACCATCTGCTGGCACATCAGAGAGAGAGGAGGCGTGTGTGAGCTTGTATGTGTGTGTGTAAACCCTGCTGAGGACCATCTGACACTCACACACAAACTCACACTTACACACAGTGTTTGGAAAGAAATCAACATTTCAGTAAGAGAAGAAGAAACAGGAGATTCAGGATTTTTTTTACACTAAATATAATAGAAATACAGTATCTTTCAAACAGTGGAAGCAGAAAGCAACGATTTAAAGCGTGTACATCAGATGTAATGAGACTTATATCAGACTAAAGTTTTATGACTTCTTGCTGATTTTGTAGTGAAATATTATCTCATCTCAAACATCTTATTGATATGTTCAATGTAATTATTTTTCCTCTTGGCTACATTAATTTAAATGTTATATTTATGATATTCATGATTTATTAATTAAAAAATAAATCTCTTCTCACAGATACCATGCAAAATGTAGAATCTCTACTCAGGGAACATTTTATTATGGGAAGTGTTTTGGTTTCTATTTTTATACCTTTGTAGTCAGAGTAGCATTAACAAATCAAGTAGCTACATCAGTTCAGATATGTTTATTTTAACAGCAGTACAGTTAACAGCTGTTTCATCCCTTGTTTCCATCATGGCATTGATTTACACAGTGATGGTAGTAACGGAGGTCGACTCTGTTTTTCTGGGTTGAAGTGGAAATCGTCACCCTGGCCCTGTCAAGAGACACATTGAAGCCATCATCGCGGTACATCCCGCTGTGCAGCATCACCTCTGAAAACTGACGAGAGGTCCCTTTAAACTGAGTCTGAAACACACAGACAGAAATATCTTGCGTACTGGCCCTTTAAACACATTTAAACATTCTGTTTTAAGACACATTTAATAGTTTGTATTTCGGAAAAATCTCTCAATGGAACTTTATTTCAATTCTGCATTATTAATAATAAACATAGGACATGAATACTTTTTTCAGATTTGTAAGTTTACTTGTTTACTTTCAAATAGTTTTACATATTTCTTATCTTAAATGTACCAATTTATGTTTGCAACTTTCTTTTTAAAATATTCCTGTACCTTTGTTTAAAGTGAAATAAAAAACATTATAAAAACAAGACCAACAGAGACACAACTGATTCCATCTGTCTCACACCTGTCTGTTTTTATCACTTGTGTATCTCTCACCTGCATCTCGTGCACAGTTGGTTTCTTGCTGCCATAGGTTTGGTTTGATGTTCGATAAAGTGGGTGACTCTTTTTCTGACTGAAAAAGACACACAGCAGAGTTTTAGCTACAGTGTTATTTGTATTACAAACAATTGATTCTGATTCATCAAAAATACCACAGTCCCAGTTGAGACCTGAAGGAGGGTTACTGCCCTTTGTGATGTCACAAAGGGAAACTCTCCATTCAGCCTGTCAGAGCACAAATGTTCTAAAAAGTGGAGTAGGGTTAGTGTAGGGAAAAAGATGATGGAGATGATTCAAAAGAGGAGGGTTGCTGGTTGATGCCGATAGAACTATCAAGAACAGCTGTCGATGTTGTTGTTGATGACAATATTAACTATAAAACAATAAAATAAGTGCCTTACCTCTGTACACTGCCTGTCAGCACCTGAGTCCAATAAGACTTACAGCTGTTCATTTGCACTTACTGATGTTATTTCCTCCTTTCTAGATTCTTGTGTTGTTTACTCTCTTATGCTTTGGATAAATACGTCTGCAAAATGAATTGTAGAATAATTTTGGGAGTTGGTACAATGCTAATTTGGCTTTACTAATAAAGAAAATGATGAAACTTACAATGTTCTGTATGCGTCACAATAGTGGTTCCCAGAGGTGTAAAGTAACGAATTACATTTACTCGCGTTACTGTAATTGAGTAGTTTTTTGGTGGACTTACTACTTTTTAAGTCGTTTTTAAAAGCTGTACTTTTACTTTTACTTAAGAAGGTTTTCTGTTAAGTATTGTAATTCGCTACATTTTAAATCACATCCGTTACTGAGTAAAAAAAATAGGCCTGCTATGAATGATTTTCCCTCATCGCACCAGCTCGTGCAGCACGGATAAGCACCTCCACTACAGCGGCTCTACCTGCTGAAGGTGTTAATAAACTGATGTCTCATTGTTTTTAGTCCAAGATGATTTAAATAAGTTGGCTGTGGTTCTTACTCTCGGACAAAGAAGTGGCTGAGGATGCTTTTTCTCACTACAGCCTTCGCGACTACAATCGCCGCTGCAGACCAGGAAAGCTCCGAGCGATAACACATTTAATTCCGGAAAGTTTTTCACAATAAAAGTCCTTTATTATCATCTCTTTGATGTGATTTTATTTTGAAGCAGACGTATGAGGAAGATGGATATTATAAGCTGCTGCAACATAACACATCTCAGATGTGTGAAAATAAATAGGCTACTTCAAACCAAACAGATTCAGTTGGAAGCTTCAGTAGCCTGCGAAAACACACAGTGACTAAAACATCTAATATAATCTCATACAGGCTCATCTTAAAACAATACATGGATTATCTTTCATCTCAGGTTTAGTTGCAGCTAAATCAGCCTTTGAGGCTGTATTTGAGACTAACCAGCCTCAGAATAATAAAACTAAAAACACTAAAATACTCTTTACACTGTTTATGATTGAGACAAAGACCCTTTTAGTATTTTCTTAAATAGTTTAAACATTTCCCTTCATAAAACAGCTGATTACTTACTAAACATATAAGCCTCGATTATTTATCCATCAATATTTATATTTTGTTTTTGTAAATGGGGTAGAAAAGAAAATGTTTATCTGAAAAGATAAACTTTATAAAGATTTGCCTTTAATTAAAAAAACTTTGAGATTAATATCCTCTCGTCCTTCACACACAAGAGTTGCGTTGTTAAAAAAAGTAACTAAGTAACTTTTACATTTTAAACAAGTTACTTTTTCTTTTACTGGAGAACATTTTTAAACTGGTACTTTTTCTTGTACTTAATTAAAATTGCATTAAAGTAACAGTACTTTTACTTGAGTAGAATATAATAGTACTCTTTACACCAACCTCTTGATGTGTCCCTAATTTGCTAAAAACATATTCATGCACTAGCTCAGTTTTGGTGTGTTGCCTTTCACTATAGGTCCCAGCTAGCAAGAAAACAGCCAAATCCTGCCAGTCCATTTTACATTAAAACAGAAATTTAGCCGAATCTCAGCCTTTACCTCTTAACCAATCCCAAACTTATCCTTGCAAATCTATTGCAAAGCAGAAAGCACAGGGAAAGAGCAAAAGGCATAGGGTGGGATGATCCAATCCCCTTAACTCTCCAACATCAGCGGACAAAATGGTTGACAGAGCTAGAAGGAGTGCAAGCATTCAAGGTGGATAGATGTCTTAAGCCAACAGATTTTGGTAAACTCCTTTGTTGCCAGTTGCATCACTTTTCTATTGCTAGTGAAAATGGATATGGCACTGTGACATATCTCAGGATGCAGAACAACAGCAACAGTGTTCATGTCTCTTTCATCTTGGGCAAAGCCAGAGTGACACCACATAAACAAGTGACAATTCCTTGCTTAAAACTCACTGCAGCAGTTCTTGCTGTTCGAGTGGACACCATGCTTCGAGCAGAAATGCAGCTCCCACTCGAAAAATCATGTGTCTGGACTGATAGCACATCAGTTTTAAAGTACATCAAGATTAACATTTACTTTTATTGATTCCCGCAAGGGGAAATTTCAGTTTTTACACTCTGTAGTCATGCAACACACACATAGGCTGAAGTATATACACACATGCACACAAACAGGATCCTATGGACATGCACTAAGGGAGAGGTGTCAGAGTGAGGGCGCTCCTGAGCTGGGGGCGCTCCTGAGCTGGGGGCGCTCCTGAGCTGGTGGTGGGGAGGGGGTTTGGTGCCATACCATAGTCATGGTTGCAGATGCTACTGCTCCACGCAGCTCATGGTTGCTTGGGAGAATCATAACGACCTATCCTGACAAAAAAAAGGACTGGTGCGTTCTGCAAGACTGAAAACAAAGAGCAGCATACCGGACAGGCCAATAACTAAACTGTGCCTGCTCCAAGAAGCTACCTAATAAGATTAGATTATTACTGGTGAACTCTGACCCAAAGGGATTTTTGTTTGTTTTGTTTTTTTTGTTGGTCAATTTTTATCTTAAGTTTGGCTCCTTTATATAAATATGTTTAAATTGTTCCTGTCCTCATGCCATCAACAATTAGGGGCCGGTGTGTTGGAGCCAAATGAGGTGTTTGTTTTGTGTGATGCTATTTTCCTTGTGGTTGTGTGTGTTGGCCCTCTACTGGGCACTATGTGTAGCCTGGGCGGATGCTGTGGTTAAGGCAAGGCTCCAGGTGAGGTGGGACAGGTGATTGAATGGAGGCAAACTGTTTTATTTTATTTTGTTTTTTTTACCGTGTCAGCCTGTCAGAGTTAAACGCATCCAACGCGGATTTGTTTGTTTGATTCATAGACAGTGGTTCGTCATATTTTCCTTTATTTGATAAGAAGTGTTTAAAAATAAATGGATTGAAATATCCAAATCAAATCATCAATGGACTGTGTTCATTTCTTCGAGCTAAGCACGCGTCCCGAAAGCTTCCACATTCAGTGACTTTTCTGGGTTTGTTAAAATTGGTCACTGCAGTAGGCTACAATAGGCCTATACAAAAACAAGTCAAACAGTAACATGAGTAAATGTAATTAGTTACTTTCCACCGCTGCTCAATCAACCGAAGGTCCTGACTCCTCAGAAAATAAAAGTGTTAGGCGAAGTATAGGCCTCTTTAGAATAAATGACAACATCTATAAAATCTTCAGTATTCTCACGTATTGTGTTTTTTTTTTTTTTTTTAATTCATGAAAAGAAGTCATAAAATGTTCCAATATCCCTCAATTCACACTACATTGCCATGCAACAAGCAGGATAATGTGTCGTTAGCGGGTTGCTGGGGAAAAGTGTTCTTGTCCAACATCTCTGTCTACTATGACCTAAACCCCCCGGTTTGACTACCCTAAATAAACCATACATGTGCCTTGAATAAGAGTTACCTATCTATTTAAGACTTTCAAAATAATTTACCTGTAACCACTGAAACAGTCGGGGTTGTTGAACCTGGACGGCAGGTTCGGGTCCGTTCTGTAAACATCGCACGTCTGGACTCTCTGATCCGCCATGGCTGACCCGAACTTTAGGACCGCAACAACACAGCGGTTACTAGGATACACGTGACGTCACCACGTCACTCATTGCTACTCCATAGAGTGTAAATAATAAGTCTGCGTGCTGTTAAAAGCATACAAAAAGACGAAGAATGGACATTTAATACTATGACCTATACCCGGAAAAAGGATAGTAGAATAAACGTCCTGCAGGCTAGAGAAGAATAACAATTTGGTTTATCTGATCTCTACTCCACATTGTTAAATTTTCCAATTCAATATGGTTTATTGTTATGAATGTAGCCTAACAGTGACAAAAGTGCCAACTAAAATAATATTCTGAGTATAAATAAAGATAAATGATAGGCTATTTCATCATAGTTCAACAACAACCAAATGATATTTGCATTCATATTTTTGCATTATTTGCTGAAGTTCCATTGACCAGACACACTAAAAATAACACATTTCAGCAAAGCTTCATAGAAAGTCAAATTTATACTTGCAAACATTATTTTTTTTAACAATATGTCTGTTGTCAACCTACTTCTTTACATTTATATAAGTGGTGTTTCTTTATACCACTTACTATATCTATTGTAGAAGTATTTGCTCTCAAGTCTTATCTGCACTTTACACTAAGGATTAATCATATTGAATCATAACATTTCCGTCTAACCAACCTTCCATTACACCCGATGAAGGTCGGTTAGACCAAAACGTTTTTCTATTTTCTTTAGTACCAACATTTCAGGTCCTGCATGACAGTTCAATTGTGAGAGACAAGTGAATAAAGAAAATTATTTATTACAATTACAATAGATAACATTGAAATGTGACTTGACAGAAGGTGCTTGGTCTATATGTTTGGAGAATGTCAATTCTGAGCGGCAACAGAATAAATACCCCCCAGATGCAAGCCCTAGAACGGGACAGTCCATAGAGTGCCCCCCAAAATGATTACTTACCAAGCAGGAGTTAATCGGTCGTGATTAATTAAACAAGATGGTATAATTTGCTAAAGAAAAAAAACATTAGACTTAAGCAACAAGAACAACAGTAAATGAAATGCCCTGCTGATAAATGAATACTTGATCAAAAAAATCAGTACACATACTGGATATGAACCAAAAGAAGCACAAACACAGATTCCAGCTATGTGCCCCACTGGCTTGTTGTGAGATTGGTTTAATTCATTTATATTATTATTTTTTTAGGGCGGCCATGCCCTCCTTGTGAAGGGAGACACAAAGCCCCAACTTTTTAGAAAATAAAAAAGGAAAATATTAAGAACAGCTTGTAAGTAGTGGAGGCGAATATGTACAAAGATATATTTGAGCTTCAATGATGGCAGTTGTTTCTGGAAACACATATGTGGACCAACGGGCCAATGTGGACCAACGGGCCAGTTGTTGCAGAGAAGCTGTAGACAGGCCTTGTATTGCAGCAGAGGTAGCAGCACTTATACATTTTAGAAGAGTCTGCTCTACATGAGAACAAACCCAAAGTCAACATAATGGTTGAGGCAGCCAGGCCCTTCCTCATGTAAAACCTGGCAGAATTGAAATAAGACTCCAGGGAAGGCTGATTGAATAAGAGAACTAATGATTCTTGGGGAAGAACTGCTACTGGTGAGGAGCTGGCGTCTGGGCAAAGACTCCTGAATACCTGCAAATTAAACTGGGATAAAGAATCAGCAATGGTGTTGAAGTGACCTGGCACAAGGTGGGCAGTGATAAGGAAAGTTTTCTGTACAGATAGCCATGTTATGCATCTCATGAATGGCATCATTTTGGGAAAAGAAGAGCATCCTTTATTCATAATTCCTGCTACTGCTTCACTGTCACATTGAACTCTGATGCATTTGTGGCTCCAGGAATTCCCCCATGAGTGGCATTCTACTGCACTAGGACAAATCTCTAACACATCCCATGAGAATTCTAGTTTAGGGAAGGAACATTTGCCTTTGGACCACAGGCCTTGAAAATACCTGCCAAAACATACGGAGGGTTCTGCGTACATGAAAAACGTAATGGTGTCACAGGAATATACCAGATTGTCATAGAAGAACATTACTTCCATTCTAATGGGTTAGTAAACTACACCAGAAGATGCAGTCAGATGAAGTGAATAACACCAAAAAAAGGCTTTTTTAAAATCATAATTTCCATGGAAAAGACTCTCGATGACTGATACATATGATGCTTAAAAAGCAGGATAAGGATTTTTGTAAACAAAGAAAAAAGAGTTTGGATAAAAGACGCTAAAAGATTCATTATTTGATTCACTGTGTAGTTTATTTTGAAAGTTTAACATACAGGAAATTGAAAAGATCGTGATCAGCCGTCTCATGTCTTAATAAAAAATCAACTAATCATATTTCACTATAAAATAAAAAAGTTTTGACATTTCACACAATCAATCAATAGCATGATCATTGATCAACAAGCAAAGGGAGGGGCCAGGGAGGCAGGGCTAATACAGGCAGGGTAAGCTGGGGGCGGGGTTAATGTTAACAGGTATACAGGGGGCGTGGCTACACCTGTGCAGCTACAATTTATTTACACACAGTCAACTTTTCAATGACTAAACTTAAGACTGTTTTAGCTTTTAACTTCACACAGTATGAACTTAACTTTACAGTTTTTTTTACAGAGTACCCTCTCAACAGTTTTTATTTGTCCTACAAAGAATTACACTTCTGATCACGCCCACAGTGATGTCAGCGTGTACTTACACACCCTAGTACATTGTAACCTCACTGCAGTGTGAGGTGTCCAGAGAAGGTGTACCCAGACTTTTGATTAATTCTTTGTTTCATTCTAACTCTGTGGCCAACAGGAAGGATCGTCCTCTCCACCATTTCACATTTTCTTTTCAATAAACGATTCCACAACCATTAAATAACTAATAATAAATATGATCATTTCTTCAGAGAATCAAAAAACATTCAAATGTTTTCACATGAGAACAAATTTTTAAAGGACTGATTAAAAAAAAGATACATTTTTAATTTCTAGGCCCAAATATTATGGGGCTATGGGAAAACCAGGATTTATTGGTTTTGCATCTACCATCATAAAACTTTGCTTTATGTAAGCCCAGAAGTGGATTTTTATTCATTGACAAATAAATAGGCAAACTGTCTGACTTTTTGATGAGTAATGATTGAAGTTAACATCTGGGTCTCGAGTAAATACGGATGGTATGGATCAGAGTGGGCAGGAGCTGTCTAATGTTTGATCTTTATTTTGATGTCTGCTCTGCATTCAAGACCTGTATAATAGCTGATTGATCTCTGATTGATTTCTCAGTCACCAGTAGAAGTTTTCCTCCATCTCGTATCAACAGCAGTTAAACTGTCCAATGAAAAGCTGTCACTGGACCTCCTCAGAGCTCTTTCCTTTACATCACTTCCTGTGGAGAGACGTCCTCACTGGTCGATAACTGTGCTAGACTAGCCGACTACTCTGCACAAAGCCTACAAGATAGACACAGACAGACAGACAGACAGACAGACAGAAAGAGAGGGAGGCAGGTAGACAGATGGAGAAACAGACAAGGAGATAGACAGAGGGACAGACAGGTAGATATGTTAGAGCTGGTAGAGTGAGACAAGAGGTCAAACTGCTGCCGTCTACAGCAAAACTTCACTAAAACTACACTCATTATGATCATATCTGCTGCTGCTAAATTATATTACTTCCTACAAGAGTACCCCTGTGAGAATTTAAAGGTCTTACTGAAAAAGATGGGTACCACGCTAAACAGTTTTCTGGGATAAAGATTTGTTTGAAACATTAAGAGGTCAGAGGTTGTGATTTCACAAGTTTGTACTTACACTGTTCATCAGGCAGAAATCAGATCTCTGTTATCAAAATGACTCCTCAACATTATTTATCCTTTAAATCACAGTGCACTGAATGTATCTGTACTTTGGAAACACAAGACATCAGAAAACATTGCATTGGACTTGAAGAAACTGAGATGGACATTTCTGACTTCTGAGAAAAAGATGATCCATTGATTAATTGAGAAATGAATCAGCAGATTAATCTAAACCAATCGAATCATTAGTAGTTGTGAATTGGAGTAAGAGTTAGTACATGATGACATGAAGATAAAGAGTGAAGTGAATCGAACATGAGGTAAAAACACCTCAAAGAAGTTTCTGATAAGAACATGATTTATATTATCAGAAACTGATGTCATCTCTACTAAGTATGTACTCAACATGAGGTGATTTGGTAATGAGGTGTAATAAACCCCTGTAAACATTGCATCAGGTTCGCTTTTAGTGTTGTAAAAGACTGAAGGTTTATGTTGGTAACAGAAACAGAAAATTTAGGCATTTAATCAATTTGACTGGTTTCTGAATTCTGTGTCAAAGAAAGTCTTTTTTAAATAATTAATTGCAATCATTTATATGATAGGTGTCCACATACATATACTGGCCATGAGTTCTATTGCTGTTTTGGTCATTTGTCCTTTGAGTGAAAACACTCCAATCAAAAGTTTTTTTAACATCAGAGGCATGGTGGACAAGTCGATCTGCTGCTGATTTAACATTTAGGATGTTTTGAATTCAAACACGCACACAGTTTAATATGTGCCATGTGTTTATGTTTTATATGTCTGGACACTGATTGTGTAGCTGGTGACAAAGACTATAAGCCTAAATCATACACCACACAAAATAACAAGTTCATATCATGATGGAGTTCTCAGATCTCTCTTACATTTGTCATATATGAAACAAATTTCAGGTTCATGAGAAAGTAAAATCTGTCCGATTGGATCTCTGCGATCACTGCCATGATCTAAGATCCTTAACATCTCTATCTCTCTTATCGCTAACATATATCACATCTACAACTCACATTTTAAACACATCTTTCATCACTAACATTTCTCCCATTGCTCAAGTTTCAAACATGTCTCACATCTCGATCATCTCCCAACTGCTAAACCTCCCTCAGATTTCTGTAATCTCTAACAACTCTCACATCTCTTACCTCTGATATCTCAACAACCTCAATATTTCTCAGAGCGTCTCACATTTCTCAAATCTCACATCTCTATCATATAATTTCTCCAGTCTTTAAAATCTCTCAAATTTCTAACATTCCTCATATTTCGATCATCAATCATTGTTTCTCACCTTTATGCCATCTCTTACATCTGTTCTCAGATATCTATCTCACTTATCTTTAACATCCAAATATTTCTCCCATTTCTAAAGTTTTGCTCATTTCAGAGTCTCTCTAACATTTCAACCCTCTATAAACTCCTCGTCTCTAAAATCTCCACATTTTCTCCAAATACCAATGACATGTCTCACATCTCTTCAATTTCCAACATCACCTTTACACCTCTTCTGTGTCCTTCATCACCTAATCCCCATCTTCTCTCCCATACGTTACTCTCAGCCTTGTACAGTTTGCACATCTGTAATTTAACCTGTGTGTCACACAGGTGTACAATTTCCCCCAGAGGAAAATAGTAGCAGAAAAATAACAGGTAGAGTTTAAGTTCAGCACATAGACAGGCAGAGCAGAGGAGGACACAGACAGGCTGCTGCTGTAACCAGAGCAACCAATGTGTAGAGATTAACAGGTAAAGGGTAAAGGTTCATAGAGGTCATCAGGTACGGAGGGAGCAGGTTAATTAAGTTTATAAAAGAAAGGTCAGATTCCTTCTAGAGGTCTGAGACCAACATCTGTATATAAGAGGTCACTTATATGTCACACAGAGGTCATGTACAGGTCACTTTAAGGTCACATTTTGAGGTCAAATGCGGCTTGTAAAAAGTGAAATGAAGGTCTGGTAGAGGTATTGTGAAGGTCATAGGTCAAAGTCATACAAGTCAGCTGCAGGTTATTTTTCCAGGTCATGAACGTCATGTGAAGGTCGAAGGTCATGAAGATCTGGTGAAATTCTTGTAAGGTCTGTAGAGGTCATAGGTAGAGCTAAATGGAAAAATGTTGTGAAGGTCATATGTAGGCCATGTCAAGGTCATAGGTAGCTTAATTTGTTCATATGTAAGTCATACTAAGATCAGCCATAACACTATGACCACTTGTGCAATCCAATGCAATCCAATACACCAGCCTTAACCTACTACTTTTACAAAGCTTCCATGCTTAAAAAGGTGATTGTACTTTTACTTTAACATTTATTAATGAAGTTACTGTGGGTAGTGGTGTGCTGGAGGTTATTATATCTGAAGGTGTAATTATATTACGCTACCCTCGTGTATGTTACTAGAGAGGGCAAAATATTACAAACACCTTTCAATATAATGCACTTCAGTCCATCAACTGCATCCACAATTTGTTATAATAAATATAAGGTAGAATTATCACCTTTCTGACCATGACAACAGGTAGAAGTTATGGTAGAACAGTTGTATTGGATTGCATTACATTGCATAGATGGTCTTAATGTTGTGGTTGACTTGTGTATGTATATCATATAAAAGTCATATGTGGTTTATATGTAGGTTATATGTAGGTCATGGCACCTTTGGCACTGCTGTCTAGGAAGACTTTGATGTAGGAGGTGGGGACATATCCCTCCTCCTCAAGGTTCCTCCGTACTCTGGTCCAACCGTCACCTTTGTCCTCTTCCACCACAGAGAGTAGTTCTCCCTCCACCATGGACAAAGTGCCTTCGTTCTGACCTGCAGAAGATCCACAACAACGTGTTCAGAGCTGAGAGAACCAGTGAGACATCCCTGTGCACCTGTTTGCCAGGAGATGTAGTGGCTGTCGCACAAAATGCAGGAATATCAAATAGGAGTACCTTGGAACGGGTAAAGGGACTTGCAGGTGCCGATACTTGGCAACGGTTCTTCGTCATCAAAGTCGTCATCAAACTCAGAACTACGAGACTTGAAGTGAAGCTCTGCACTGTTGTCTTCAGTGTAGCTGCCGTCAGGACTGAGGTGAGGAAGAGACAGGTAGAGAGAGGTCAGTAGATACACAGACGGATAAATAGTTAGAAACAGGGGTAATGTTTTTTTATGTTCTGTGTCTTAAAATGCCAGAAGAGTTTAGCTTAGTAACACGTTGAAATGGATAATAGCTTAGACACATTACAAACTGTTAACAAGGGTCAGTTATCTGTAATCAATAACCAGTTACCAATAACCAATAATTAGTTCAGCACCTCTCTCTGCTGGCTGGACTGCGGTTATCAAGCTGTTTCAGGCTGCTGCTGCCTGGTGTTGTCGCCTGTGAATTTACCCCACAACCTCCACTCTGTCTCCTACCGCTGTGATCAGACAGTCTGCTGTCAGCCTCTGCCAGCCATGCCTACACACATAAGAACAACAGAATACACACCATTACTATGCATGCATACACCTATTTTAAGAAAATACAGTTTCAATGATGTGGGCCTGATCCACAGAGGGATTGCAGTGATAGAGCCCAGTAAAGCTGTGTAAATAATAATCTTTCATATGAAAAGGAACCCAGTTGCAAAAAAAGATCAAATTCACAAACACTGGCACCAACAGCCATGCAAAGTTAAGAGTGAAAAATGTATCCTCTGCTGAGAGTTGGTGGTAACTGCGCTGCAATATTTATAAGAAATGTCATGCTCAGACTTTACAGTGATGGTGAAAATAAATTCCACCTCTTTTTTAAACCTAAAATTGAATTCTTTCTGTAAATGAAGTCTTGCTTTAATTAATATAATCAGGGGGAAAATGTGTTTGGGTCTGTTAACCCCCTGCAAATATGAGGACACTTTGTCCATATGTATAAAGACTGTCCGGGCAGTTTCACATAACAGAAAGGAAAGATTGACTATGTGGCTGAGCTGCTCTCGCTGACTAACTCCAGGACAAAGCTGGTATAAATGGTGTAACTTGTATCACGTCAGTAGAGATGCAACTTCCCAATAAACTGGTAAAAGCATCCCCTCCCCTCCCAGCTCATCATCTGTATTTGGACAGAAATAATCTTTGTCAGGAAGAGAGCACACAGCTCAGCTCCACACAGCAGAGTGTTGGAGTAGATAGCTTCTCTCCACGGCAAGCTTCACTGTGATTTGACAAACTGCATAGAGACAGACAACTTCATGGGCATGTTAAGGATTTAATATTATTAGAACAAATGTTTTTGTGAATTTGACCCTCAGTGTACTATGTAGTGTGGAAAATATTAACCTGGTTCTTCCGCAGCTCTTCCTCCAGTTTCTGAAGACTCTGCTTCACCTCCTCCAGTCGAGGCTCCAAACTGCCGGCATCGCCCATCTGGGGACTCCGTTCATAGACCTCCCTCATTTTCAACAGAGCATCTCTAAAACCACACACACACACACACACACACACACACACACACACACACACACACACACACACACACACACACACACACACACACACACACACACACACACACACACACCACACATTTTCGTTTTTAACCACAGAAACAACAGTGAGTTTGAGCTTCAGGAATTTTTCAAGTTCAATGTCTGTTTCAATAGTCAAATTTCCATTATTGATCAATAAAATGGATTAAAAGACATTAGCTGATTGATGTGCTATACCCCTTTAGTATGGAATCTAGGTGTGGAGGCCGCTTGCCCCCTTGTGGCCACAGTATGCAACCAGTAACTGCAGTATTGTTAGAAATGTAAAGAACTAGTTATTTATTTATAACATGTCAGAAGAAAGTTATATTGCTTTAAATTACTTTAAATGTTACATTTGATAAGATTAGCCAACATACTTTTATATAGTCAATGTTAAAGATAGAGTTAAATACACGTTTATTTAAACATACTTGTATGCTTCAAGTAGTGTTGTTAGGGTTTAATTGAGAGTTAAACCAATTTGTGGATAGAATGTGATAGTCTCTGTCTATATAATGTTCTTCTTTTCACAGTCAGTTATTCTAGCTGGAGTGCATCCTAATCTCTGAAACATGAAATTGTGCTTAAATGTGAAGAGTGAAATGATTGTTTTATTTCAATTAACTCTTCATGTGACTTCACCTTTCCCCAGCGAGGTTTGAACATGTCTATACCAAATAGAGAGCAGAATACTTGTGAAAGCCGAGGAGACTGCCAACATGATTGAAGGTGGAGAAAGTTTGTTGCACGTGGCGTCTTCTTTGTTTTATTGCCCTTTGTCTCTACACCCTACACTGATCAAAATATAAACACCACACTGGTATGAAATCCACAAATGGAGAGAGGTTTAACTATTTGAGAACCAACCTAAAAAACCCCTCCATTCAATTTTTTAAGTTTAAATGAGTGTGTGTGTGTGTGTGTGTTTATGTTACCTCTGCTCTCTCTCTCTCTGGATCTCTTGGTTGATGTTGTTGATCCTGGTTTGAAGTT